GGTGCCATAGCGATGCGGCTTGTCTGGCATAAACATTCGAGTACCGTTGCGCTTGGACGTTGCAGGAAGCACACCTTCATCGAATGAGATGATATTAGCCACCGACCATGTATCTAGGAATTACCTTTGAAGAATGTCAACGGCAGCTAGCAGCTTCCACAACTTGGCCCTCTTGATTGCTGTCTCATTGTTGCAGAAATGAAGGTCCCGTAGGATAGAAGTACAGCGATTTCGAGGAATAAAATTGCCAAACCGCCCCGCAGAAAGCGCGCCATCGTCAGTTATAGACCAGTGATCTGAAAACGGACGGGTAGGGCTGAGCATATGAGCTACAAGTAGACCCATGACACAAAGAACTTCGCGCGGTACGTAATCAGGTTCGACTCGGATGCGGCGGCGAACATCCCTTAGCGTTTGACCTGGTACGCTGCGCCCTTCACGAATAAGCCGTTCGCGTTCTTGACGCGCCTTTTCATCGAGGTGTGACCTTTTGTATCGGTTTGTGTCGCTCGTGATGAATGTCCACGGGTTTGTCGGCATGAAATAGACTAGCAATTCCACTGGTGAGGCCCTCTTAGCACGAAGCACTTCCACTGGTCTAGCCGCTTGATCCCTCATACCCTTGAACGCGTTGTTGTCGGTTTCATACTCGGAGGATACATGGGTCCATGCCATGGAACGTAGTGTTTCTTTGCTCATGTCTTCGATAGATAGGGAACCACCCAAGCGATCAATAAACGCTGCATCCATAAGAGGCGCCTCTTCTTCATCGGATGACAGGTCATCGTCAGCTTGCCTGAGCACAACATCACCATCTTCGTCTGATTCACAGCTATCCGACTCCGAGTCCATGCTCTCGTACTCATCTGCATTGTCCTCGTCCTTCATGACATTCACATCCTCTTGTAGCAAGCCACAAACTACCTCCGAGTTTGTTTGCGCCACCCCCTCGGTGACGGTATCTCCAACAGCACCATTTTGACCGACGCATGCCGATACATCCGGGTTTTTCCCTCCAAATATATCGTCTATGGTATCTGCCGACAGCGCAATATTTGTGTCTGTCTGCGACAACCTCGTTCTCTCGTCCTCTACGTGCGGGCTTGTGGCGCATAGCGGGCGTTCCGCAGCTTCGTCACTTTCCTCGCTCTCGGATCCGAACAATGCATCAACAGTTTTTGCTGAGAGGGCAGCACTCGTGTCAACCTGAGACGCTGTTACCCTCTCACACACCGCAGGATCGTCTGGCTGATCTTCTTCACTCTGGCCCTCTTTGTCGTCGCTTGCAATTTCCTCTTCAGCGCCGATGATGCCCTGTTCAAGCGCATATTGTACTACCGCGTGTTCTCCTGCGCGTACACAGCACAAAACATGTATCACTTACACTGTTGTAGAATAACCACGGAAGTCTTACCCACAAACATGTTCACACCCTCGACGCGTGGCTTCTTTGCATCGTTGGGGGGGGGTAGTATGAGTGCAAGTTGGACAGCCGCGTTTACCTCTTTGACGTCCATCCGACACGTCGAGCTGACGCCATAGATGGCCGAAGTCCACATCTCTCACGTCGATTGTTGATAGCGCCTCTGCTTGAGCTTTTGACCGCTTGCTTGTTCTGACCGGCATCTTCACTCGAGCCCGCAAATTCTGAACTGGTGGAGTATATCCACCACCCTCAAAGCGTCCGGTTCCCAGATAGTGGGACAATTTATCTAGCCACCGCCTTTTTCTCCCCTGTCGCGGGCTACCTTGCCAAGCTATATATTATTTGCCGCGAAACAGACTTGATTAAAGTATTGGGACGCCGCGTCTGAGCCATTTCCTGTTTATCGTACAATTTAAGTCGTAAGGTACGACGTTGGTAACCAAGGGGTTAAACTTGAGGATGGGGCTGGTCGTGCACATGGGCAACATAAATATGAACAATTCCAATCATGAGCAGACAAAACCGAGCTCGCGTAATAGCGTGTAATGCAAGACTAGCAAAAGAGCGTCATGCAGCGAAATACACGTATCGGAAAATGTAAAAAACTATCGTAAGGCAAAACTGTTTACTTAAGTATGCGAAAAAAAGCAGAATTAGAAAGTGGAAAATAGCGGCTGGGGGCGCTGGGAGCTAAAACCGGCTACGACAATTGAAATGCCTTTAAAGTAAATACATCATCCAACCAATCACGGCGCCATACATTGACAGATTTGTTGAGCCGTATTCAGCTAACGGACTCCAGAGTGGCTCGAGCGCGCCGACAAAATATCCCGGCTGCAGACGCGCCCGAGTTTCTGCTCCCGAACGCCACAAGTCTTGTACTAAATTCGTGGATATTGCTACATCCGCAAACCCCTTCTGAAGCAAAACCGTAAAGCATTCGATAAGGCAGGACTCCACAAAAAGTCCCGACAAAATAACAGAAAAATAACCTTCAGAACTTTTCCGGCTATATTACATTACTATTTTAGCACTTCAATACCTTTTAGGGAAGTTACTTGGGCATATCTTAGAAAACTACTCTCTCGATCAAACAGAATGCCTCTTGTCAGACCGGTTGTCTCTTCCTGTCTCACTTTTGCGGTCACCACGGCCGTTGTCCCCTTCAGGATACACCTCTGCTACCATGGTGCCGCATTAGAGATACTCGCCTACCAAAATGACGCCAGCTCACGGCGGTTCCCGCCGGCCCGCCTCCACTCAGCTCACGACGCTTATATTGATTATTCAGCCACCATTACTTACGTCATTAGATAACTATTACAACGGCAGCATTCTGCATTGCACCGACAGCAGTCACAAGCTTACCTTTAGTTAGCTAATCACACTCGCTCACTGCGTGTCGAAAGCACGCTCGAAACGCTTTGAATCGCGCACTGTAAGGCACACTGTCCCAAAAAGGTAATATTGCTAGGTGTACACTGCTTATCGTGCACATACTTAACGTTGCTTACTACATTTTTAAAAACAACTTGCAGTACTTAATGTAGTTTAATAAACCTTTGATAATATATACCTTATAAACTAGATTGGAAGGACACCGAGGATACGTTCATGATACCATAAGCCATTAGAATGCATGCAATTATTGACATTTATTCAGCATGTTGCTTTTGTTGGTTCAAACGGCCTTCTATTTGGGTATGTTTCTATCCTATAGAATCCCTACTATGATACGATGTTAACCCACCAAAGACCAAATCCATTTTCGTACCTAAGCAAGAGTCAATTGATGTTGTAGGATACAGCATGTTAAAGCCGGGCTTCACTTACATTTTGTATAATCTCGAATAAGTGCGAGTATTGTTTCTGAATAACGCAACATGCCATTTTGACTGCATTCCTAACATGCAGCAATACACAACGTGGCCATCAGATTAATCCTATATTCTACAGCATGTAGGTTATAACATGGCCATCACTTTCGTTGGGCTGTTGGGCGTTTTATCAAAAAAAGTGCGGTGTCCATAATGAAAACGAAAGAAATATGTAATCGATACGAACGCAATGAAGCGTGATTGAATGAGCATGTTTGGTATTACTCTTGCATCGCTTTTGCCATCGCACTTCTGCGCTCTTGGCGCACTATTCATCAGCGCCCGTAAGTTCACCCGCATCATTTCCACCGTCATCCACGCCACCCTCCTCCTCGTTGGCGGCGTCGTCATTGTCGTCGGAGCACTGGCCTTCCCCAACACTGCCTTCATCCTTGCTTTCGACGTCATCCGAGGTTTCGTTATTTCTAGGCCGGTGTCGTTTTCTCCTCCCAGTACGTCCTGCAGCTTCTCTGTTCTGTATGACTTGGCTACAACGAGGACAGGGCCGCTCCGTCTCATTTTTCCATTGGAAGTGCCATATTTAATGGCAAGTTAGCGTGTTGTTCTTGTAATGCGGACACACTTTATTGCACAGAAACGTTCTTTACCAAATTATGGCTAGACCAACGTTGAGAAGTTGTGGGATTGTAACGACGCACCCTGCTTTTTCTGATGTACTGCAGCCCGGGCAGTAATACTTGGTTACTCGAAGATCGCCAATGTATTTTTTCGATTTAAGCATACCTTACACTGGCGTTGTCTGCGCCTGCGCTGCCCGTTGATTAGCTTGGAAGTCGGGGTTTTCACGGGATACGTGCGCATCAGGAAGTGACCTCGGAATAGGATTCGACCCGTCATTCTGTGGCTGACGCTGCGGGTCACACAAGTCAACATGCTGTAGGTAAACACGTGGTATCGAACGCACCTCAACAAAGGCTTGTTGCGTTAGTTCCAGCATTTGGGCCTGGAGCTGCGTCAAACATTCTGCGTGGGAAAGCTTATTTGCCCCCCCAAAGCTTTCTGGCTTCGCGGCTCACTATGTACCCACTCACCAACGCAATGTCCACAAGCCCCAGCAAAATGGCTTTGTAATACGTTTTGCACTTGGTCTGCTGCTGAAGAGAGTACCGTTGAAGTCTCAATTGATCATGTATATCCACACCGCCCATCCAGCGATGATAGTCGCGTATCATGGATAGGCAGGGAACTTCAACAAGAACACTTCCGGGCTTCCACCGATCTTTCATTGCACGAAACATAAACAGCGTTGGTTAGCTGACAACAACTGCACAGCACCAAGTAGTATTACGTACAACAGCTCTCCATTGCGCGACCTCTACCCGCTCCGAGAAGATGAACTGGGCGTCGATCCCACCACACTAGACTTGTCATAGTATTCACATGTTTTTGGCAACAGCCATACGGGTAGTTTTATGTGCAATACGCTTTGGATGATCCCGATTCTTCTCCACCATCACTTTACTGAATCCTTGACGATCATCTTGTCTAGGTCCCACGCAGGACACTTGCCGGCTCAGAAGCTGCTGGCACGCTGCACTGATGTAAAGAGCGGTCAGTAACTATTAGATGAAAAACACCTTCGCAAACGGGTGGTAAAACCGCCTACAAGCATCTCATCACAGCGGCTGGGCCAGTTTTATGATCGACTGAAACAATACTCCAATACATTACCGATTTCATCTCGATGTTGCGCCTTGCCGCAGTAAACGTCAAGTTTGACAGCATACAACATCAATAGAAGTTGTCGAATACAACCTGTCAGTGATACAACAGGTTGACTTTACCCCCAAAAAAAGCGGGTCCAGTGAGGCCACAGGATGAATCTAACGCAGAAAGTAGGTTGACTTTGCGCAGTAAGTCATAAACAACTTCATCGCCCAACGGTGGGGCTTGTTGGCGACGAACGGACGTGTTGGATTGACGTGTTGGATTGTGCCAATGTGGCAGCGGAATTACTGCCTCATCCAGCGATATTATCGAAAATTTTTGTCACCTTCGTGGAAAATTGTTTGCAATGCATCTATCACCGATCTCACCTTCTAAGTTCTATCCGTTCCAGCCCGTCCATCGGCATTGCTGGTGAAATGTAGGTCGGGTTGAATGTACGTGAATCGAGTCCTCTTCATGAACTTCCCGAACGTGCCAGCAGCCACGGCATTAATCGACATAGATGACCAGGGGTCGTAGAAGTGACGTCGCTGAGAATTTATCATCCGCGCAATCAACAGCCCAAGCACGCTGATAATTTCATGGGGTTTGATGTCAGGATGCTTCGCCTCTCGCTCCATCAACTCCTCGTTGGTTTTTTTGCAGGGGGGAGGGGCTCTGCTTTGCATACATTTGATCGACGCGGGCAACAAGATTTTGCTCATGGTAGGTGATGGACTCAGCAGCCACACGTGTCCACAACTCTCGTGGTACGAAGAAGAGAAAAGAATCCAATGGGGAGTCTGCAAATTCCATTACAGTGCTTGATGGTCCGTACGGGCCGTCATACAACCCAGGGTAGCGTTGGTCCGGCAGAAATTGCTTTGAGTCTGTAGAACACGACTCAAATTTGAACATACAATCACAATACAACAGGCGCTAAATACGGACCCAGTTGCCATCCATACTTTCGCATTCGAGCAAGAGAAGCTTCGTCTTTTGCAAGCTCCAACATCTCCTCCGGCTGGAGAAAGTGCCAGTCAAAGTCATCTTCTTCGTCTAGCTCGAACCCGACACCAGCTTCATCCACAACCACTTCGTCAGCTGATTCAGATATAGCGGCGGGCTCTATAGATGGACGGTCGACATTTGGGAAATCGACATTGTTTTTAGAATCGTGGGCTACTGCATCCTCTTCATCAACAAACATCAATTCGTCAGCATCTTCATCGCAGTCCGAATCAAGACCGTCAACGTCCTTTTCATCACTGCATACAACATCAGCATCATGTTGAATATGACTACATCGACGACATGTCGTAGATGATGTCATCAGCAACACGTTGTATCTGACAGCATCGGAAACATGTTGTACGTACGTGCAACGCTCATCCGTAGTGGTCGCCGCTGCGTCTAGCACGGCCAGAGGCGCTGCTCTAGCACCGGTCACTTCTGATGCTCGACTTTGCTCTAAGCTCAAGCTTTTACATTACACATAAATATTATAGCTCTCAATTGCATCAACATGTTGTATCAATACATGCTGTACATACATGTCCGTGCTGGTCACAACCACAGTATCGTGAGGGATCGTCACGCGTGTCTTCTTCTGCTTTGCCGACGGTAGCTGCCCTTTTTGGTGTTGTCTTCTTTTTCGCCATCGTATTGAGTTTTTTTGTGCTGTCATCATACAAGCATCATTAGTTAGAGTACATTTGGGAACATGTTGTATGTCAGATATGATGTACCTGTTCGAGCTGCATTGCTGCTTTCGGCTTCCTCGCTCGCAGAATCTGACGCACCCAAGTCCCATTCGGCTTCCTCAAACTCGGCGTCGTCGTCGTCCTCGTCGAAGTCTTCCTCGCCGTCCGGTTCTCACTCCTCATCCACCGTTTTCTACCTCTTCTCGACCTTCTTCTTCCCTGATCCAGCCACTGTTTTCGTAGCAACAGCCTTCCGCCTTTAAGTAACCCAACGCTTGTTGGCGAGCAAGTATGCTATATCTTCCCTATAGGAGGCCGTCGCGCAGCTTGGGTTTGATGCAACGCTTGGCGCACCGACGAGAAGTCCGCATCCGTTGATCTTTCGCCGTTTAAAAACGCTTGTTGCTCTCTCATTATGCGCAGGCGGTCTTCGCTATTAATACTGCTCAGGTGCGCCACAAAGGCTTGCTTTTCTGCGCGCGTCTCATGCCGACCCACCATTCGCTTCTCACAGACTCGGGAAACTCTGAGCTGAAGCAGAGATTTTCTCTACCACACAATATAGGCCGTCGAGCCACAACTCTGATGAGTCGATTCATTGTTCATTTTATTCATCAAAAACGCATTTTATATTTAGGGTAGCAAACCAAACCCCTGTGCATCGATTATTTTATGGGGGATTTGATTATACTTGGTTCAGTAAATGTTGGCCATTTTCCGAGCCAAGTCCTGTCTAAGCATGTTGTACCTTCAACATGAACTGATGTTGTTTTATACAACCTTGGTCTTTGGTGGGATAAACGGTTCTCAATGGAGTCCGTCTTTTTCATCATTTTACTTAAGTATTTAGCATTTTACTTGAAATGAGTAAATGATTGGCTGGAGTGCATCACATATGTTGGCCTCTCGAATTAATCCCAAAAGGAATTATAGATTTTTCTACGAAGTCCCACCAGCATAAGGTAATTGTGACAAAGGGCAACTAGGTCCACTAGCTTGCGCTTGCTTTAAGATAGGCGTGGTGAAGAGCGACATGTAGACAAAAGCACTACACTTAGTGCTTCCCGAAAGTGAAATGGCGCAATGGCATTTTATAATTACACACATTGTGACTGTCATCATCAACTTCGCTCTTATTATAGACAACCTACGCAACACTTTTGAATTAACTCAATATACATGTCTAAGCTGATAAAATAGTTTTTGTCTTACCTCAGATCAAGTGTTCATTGTTATATTTTACAGTGCAAGGTCGTGAAAAACCTGGAGCAATTTAAGAATATTTTTGTAGAAAAATAAAAATTAAAAGAGCACTTCATCTGAATGTGTATGGATCCAGTACCTTCTTTTTATGTGGGCCACAAGATTCATCCTTAAGTAAATTCTTTTTGGTCTGTAGTAACTCTAGCTGCTCCATATAAACATCGACATTTGTTCAAACCCACGAATAGTGAGCCGATCTTTGTAACGCTCAATCTCTCCGCGCTGGTTTCTCTTGATCACAAAAAATCATCGACTTGTCATGACCTTTGTGTTCGGCGGGCCATTTATCAGTCCACGTCTCGTTCTCGAGTATAACATTGAGCTCCTTTCCATGGCTTCTAGCCATTTATCTCGATCTAGACTTGCTAATACAGAGAGAGAAGGAAGTCTATTTAATCTTGCTTATTGGCTTCCTGATATTGCTTCAATCGTTTCTGCAATGCAGGTTCAGACTTTTGGATCCAAGCGAGCGCAGGTGGTATCCCGTCCTGCCTTCTTCTTTGTACCTGCATATTGCTGAATGTTTCCAGACACATTTGCAGGTGGAGCCGTTGGGCTCTCATTGCTGGCCGCTAACAAGCACTTTTTACGACCGCTACTAGCTGCTTGATGCAGTTCCTCCACATAGTGTTAGTTTGTTAATGGACCTCCCAGTGGACTTCTTCATGCACCACTTGATGATTCAGGTATTGCCATAGTAATGCAGGTCCAATACTGCAAATTACCCACCAGGGATACCGCATAGTTTCGTCGTACTCTGGCTTCCACTGCACATAGCTGTTTTGTAATTCGGATCAGGAAATGCGACCCTATTGGAGGTCTCGTCCCTGTCGCGAAGTAGTCTTTGTAGCTCAAAACTATCTCCGCTATCGGCTCGGATCCGAGCCAGTGCGCCACCACCTTGCTCTGGAACGCCTGTGCTCTGACGCATTCCCACACAATATGGGTGATCGTCATGTGCTCGCATTGGCATACCTCGTCCAGCGGACATCCTATGATGTCGTTCGAGTCATACAAGTTTGTTGGGCTGCCATTCGGTAATTGACCAAAACTTCGTAGTCCGTCAGCGAATATCGATTAGCTCAGAGTTGCTTAGGAAATTGGTGATGTTGCCCCTGTAGCCATGTATCCTTTGCACACCAATGTCTCCGGCGCTTAAGAACATTCTCCGTACGTGTTCGTACTGCCTTTTTGGTTTGTCTTGTTTTGTTTTTCTTGATCTTGCCTACTATGTGCCGATTCTTGACTCGACCACTTACTACCCACGAAAATGAATTGTCGGGTGTGCCTCAAACACCAGGTCTTCTTCGTGCTCTCGGAGAGCTTCTTCATCTGTTGTCATGCGGTTGTGCTGCCTCATCTTCCACACTATTCCATTAGACTATTGTTCCAGGATGCATCCCGGCTGACCAACTTCACTATGGCAATACATAGTGAGCTGATCATGTAGCTACCAGCTGTACCGTTCCGTCAACTTAGGCGGATTCCGTAATTGGATTCGCGAAAGCCCTCCCACTGTTTCTCCCACTTTCACTCTCAGTGAGCTAATTAAAATTGCTAGAATCCATCTCTGCAGCTTCACTATGGTGTGTCCCCGGTTCATTTCATCCTTGGTAGGAGCTCGAAATGTGTAGGTATCCTGTCCATCTCGAGTTATTTCGAGTTGCCCTATGATCGTCACTGCTGTTCTCTTGAGCTTTCGACTCGCTAAACAGGGCGCTGTCACGTCTGGAATCCATGGATTATCCCCCCATGGAAAACCGCCCCATAACGCTACAATCTCCGCTGGAAATTTGCCTGTTCGTGCTGAGTGTTCCAGCTCCGTTTTTACTGAGGTTTTCTTTAGATTGTGGCTGACAAGTTTGATTGGGTATTTAGCAAGCCGCTTCCACTGCTAATCTTGGAAGCTCGGCCTGAACCTCTCGCTATCTGGCGTGTAGCTCGTCGTCTCGCGGTTGAAAAAACTCTCCAATCGTCCCTAGCACATGCCGTCGTCTATCATCTTCTATTGGATGGATCTTCCTCGCCGTCTGACATGAAGTGTGATGAAAGGCTCTCCTCGACTGGCGTTTGTCAGTCCGACCCAGGCTGTCCAAGCTACCGTGTAAATATCCGTTTTGCTCAGAAACCAAACCACTGCGTACTTGATGCGTTGTGTCTAGAATGCTACGGCCTCCGGCCTCTCTTAGTATGAAGATCAGAGAGCTTGTTTCGGCTTGGTTCCTCTGTCATTTGTCTTCGCCTAAGAATTGCTTCTGCATATGTATCAGCTGTCGTAGTACTTCTGGAGACGGAGAGGTATCTTTGCTGTAAACACCACTGACGCGATAACAATCGCATTTAGTAGCTCCACCCTTTCCTTTACTCTAGTCCCTAATCGTTCCACTGTGGTCATTCTTCTCTTTACAGCTCTGATCCGTTTGGCCCAATTGCACGCACTGAGATTGGCATGTCCTACCTCGTAACCCAGATATCTGGCAGTGGCGTTTTCTCTTGTTGAGAAAGATATACTTACTCTTAGTCGCTTGCATCTTGAGTCATGATAGTGCTCCAAAGTCTTCAACAATGGAGAGAGCACGCGGAAGTTGACTGTTTCTTCGTAAGAACAATGTTGAGTCGTCTACGAATGCTTAAAACTGGTGATCTTGCTGCGGCTTTGTGCCTGAGACCACGATGCCGTGAGCTCTCCATCTTGCGCGATGGATTGGCTGAGTGGATCGGTCGCTAGAATCAAGAGCAAGGGTGCCAACAAGCAGCCTTGTCTAATCCCAGACTTCACCTCCATCGGATTCGAAAATTCTCCATTTACGAAGAATTAGGCTGTCGTATCTTGATGTAATCGCTCCACAAGACTCACAAGCCCTTCCGCAAACCCGAAATGTCGTAAAAATCTCTAACAAATAGACATGATTTATCGTATCATAGGCATTTGCTAAGTCTAGCAGTAATATATTCCAGCACTTGTCTTCGCCGAAGTGAGTCCGTCGTTGATTGCTTTCTTCAACTGCACCATCATCATTATTATAACCGAATGACTTGCTAATACATCACGCACTGAGTTTGGCAGCTTATTCAGAGTTGAAATAAAATGATCAGAGAATGAGTAGCCATAAAGTCGCACATTCGGACGACGTAATCAAATTGATCGTCAAAGTGGTTCAGTTTGTGACTTCTTGACACGGCGTGGTTGCTTCACTTCAGCTAGACCGCGTTTTCGCTTGTTCCACAAAACCTGGCTTTTTTTCTTCTTGTTGGATTTTTGCTGTTGTTGGTCGTCATCACCTGGTAAATAACTATTACTCGGATGTGGAGTATCAAGTAAAATCTTAGCATTATCGAGCTCAGGTGCCCCCCCCCGGTTAAGCGCACTTAACATAACCAGAGACGGTTTCACTCAGCTCAGGCTACACCAGCTCCCCCAAACTTGACGTCATTGCCCTCTTTTGCCCCTCTATCGCGCCTCCAACCTGTTGAGCATCCATGGAAACGATATCATCGGAGTCATGCGATGATATGGCGACGTCCTTGTCACTACAGGAGCTCGAGCTATCGTGAACAAGCAATTTAATGTAGGGAATGGGTACGGGTAGCACCACACCAGTTCACTACTCACGAATTTTCACGTATCGTGATTTCACGATACGTCCAGAGATAAGATCCAACACGCGATATCCTGTTGTAGATACAGGGTACCCAAGAATAGGCGCCTCCCGCGCCGCTATATCCTGCTTGCCCTTCCGCTTCTGCGCAGGGAAATAGTACGTAGCGACGCAGCCCCACACTTTCAAGCTCGACACATCTGGCTTCTGACCTTCGAACAGCTAGTATGGCGTGCGATTCCGAACGGCTGTTGACGGCGAGAAATTACGAATCGTCACTACAAACTTAAAACCTCGCCCCATAAACTTGTCGGAAGTCCAGCAGATACTAGCAAAGTACGAGCAGACCGTTATACCACACCATTCATCTTTTCAACCAGGCTGTTCTCTTCCGGCGTAAACGCATCTGTATACAGTGCCTAAATCCCATTTTCCTGAATAAACTTTTGCAACTCTCTGTTAGCAAACTCAGTGCCTTCGTCATACCCAAAACACTTTACCCGCCCTCCGCTATTCTACAAGGCCTTTAAGTTACCAGCACCCTTACATTTGCGTTACAACACGAAGCCCCACAATACCGCGAATATTCGTCTTCAATTAGCTGAAAACATCACATTTCCAGTCCCAGACCTCTCCATAGTAGCACACGTCCGTCATAAGCTTTTTGCAGCATACTATGGATCGACTGGGATGTACACTTTTGTAGGACATGCGCTGAGGCTTTGCGAGCTTGCAGCTTAGGCAATCGACAGCATTTCTCGACTGTTCAAGCGGTGATATTTCCATACCAGTCATGTGTTTGTATCGATATAGCTCTAAAATGCTACGGCATTGACGTGGCCAAATCAAAGATGCCATCGGAGCAATGCGTCACCAGTAGCTCCAGCAGTAGACGCAACGACTCGAGGTGGCGCACACAGACTGGGAGTCCGATAATAACCGCGACCCTTAGCAAATACAATAGCTTTTGAGTCCTTCCACATCAGGCAGCGGGGTCCATTCTTTGGATAGCGAGACTCACAGCGCCAGTCTTCCTCCTCCAACATATTCACACAAATTAACGTGACAACCAGGAGCATTAGGATCGCCAGGCAATGTACCTGCAGCATACCTTCAGTGCTCCATCCTGATATTCAGTTGATGCAAATGATATCTCCAACTCAGATACCAAATACTCTGTGGTAACCCCACCAGTCCACGACTCGTGTGGCGTATCCGTCTCCACATAATGTGAGTATCGCAACATAAGCGATCTATCAGCAGAGATATGCGTTATTGCAGCCATATCCAGAATCCATTCCATCGACCCAGGCGCCCCCCCCCCGATGCCGTCGAAAAAAAACAGTACTAGCTACAGCGCAGGTGCTCTTCGCACGTCCAATAATTCCTATTGGCGAAGGCTGACGGGACCACCATTCTTGCTACCTTTCCCACTCGCTTTGTCTCCAGTGGGCCTGCCGCGTCCAATTTTTGTCTCGCCTTAGGTGTCATGCTTTGTGTCGAACTGCAATTTGCGACATTGACATCGATAGTGACCATCTTTGTCACAGTAAAATCACTTCACCCGTTAGTACCAACAGCTCTATCAGCGGCTTCGCCTCCTCCATCATAATTTATTTATACTTGCCCCAGTTTAAGCTTTGTTTTGCTTCTCTTCGAAACCGAATTTAAGCTGATGCACACCACGACGACCGCGTTGAGTTGGCGTCACAACTGTTTGTGCCAAAATTTTCGCTGGTCTTTTGCATTTGCGCAATGTGCATGATCTTCTTACTCGCTTCCTCCTCGTCACGAATCATCTAGTCCATCTCCGTTTCACAGCTCAGTGTGTTTAACACTTGCTGAAGAGTTGAACTAGAGCCCTGGAACAAGAGAGAGAGAGAGAGAGACTCAGACTATTCTATTTGGTCTTATAGACGACTAGATGTCTGGTATTGCCTAAGCCTGGTTAGCAACGCCGGTGCCTGTTGGTCCGGTGGCTGTACGAGGCTCACCCCAGGACTGGGATGCTCTCTTAGTATTGTTGTTAGTACCCGTAAGCATAACAGCAATTGCGTTCCTTGCTCTTGAGATTCAGGACGTCGGCTTTCTCGCTTCCCCAGTGCTTGTAGTTGTCTCGTGGCTGTCGCCCAACACTCCTGGCTACTTGCTTCCTCTGTGGTCTGATCTTGTTGGAAGACAGCTCGGTTTCTCTGTATCCATAAGCTTGTGAGACAAATGCTACAGGGTATCTCCCATATTCTCAACCAGATGGCCGTAGTCTCCTTCGCCGCATCTGGAAATTGAAGCCACAATTGCTTCTGGGCGTGTTGTGATATCTGCGGTGCCTTGCGGTTGGCGCATTGCGTCTGAAACCTTTCAATATTCCCTGGTTGCCAGCATTCCCCTGTCTAATGCTGTAGGAAGCTGCTTCCAGCATGCTTGTGCGCACGGACACTCCCAGAAGATATGTTCTATTGTCTCCTTTGGCCCTTGACATGCTTGTAGCTTTGGACAACTGTTGTCTTGTCACCGCCCTTCATGATACAAGTTAGCTGGCCGGACTGCTACGC